GTAATTCAAAAACCCCTAGTTTTGCGGCAGACGGTATTTCCTTTGCTTCCCTAATTTTCGCTGCCCGTAGAAATACCGCCTGCCATGCAGGCTAGGCAAAATGCCACTTTTGTGTCAGGCCGTACTTTTCTCCCCTTCGCCCACGATCAGGCGTGCCTGTGCCCTAAAAAGTACGGCCTGATACTCAGGTTAGAATTGTTGGGACACTTGATGTAAACTTGAGGTTATTCAGGTACTCTATAAAGTCTATTATATACCATTAATTAATTAATTATCATTAACCTTTAGCAGGAAATATTTAAATTTTCCGAAAATAAATACTAACGTAATAATAGCCTGAAGTAAACTGAATGCTGAAGTACGAATGTAAAATATATATATATATTAGAAGTTACTACAACTGAATTTCTGCATCGCCCTCAGCTTACACAGTTTATAAGGCAAAATCTATAATCGTGTCTTGTTTACATTTTGCATTGGGCGCAGGCAAATTTTGATCTTTGAATTCTGATAATCAGTGATAAAGACATCAGTGCGCCTATATATATAAGCATTAGAGTGTGTGGTTTGCATATATATTTGTCCGCTAGTATTAAAACATCACGTTTTCAACTGAGACTATCTGTGACTCACACAATTTGATTGTGAACGTTTCTATCAGTTAAATCACAGTTTATAGACTTGCAGCCTTCTGCCTGTGTTTCAGAGATTAAGGTTGTATCTTAGTATAGACTATAAACTGTGGTTAAATAAACTGCGTATTAATATATTTCGAATACCATACCGCACGAACTTATGACCTTTATACTAGCATTATTCAAAACAAAATTCAATATCTCAATATTTATGGTATATTTTGATTGATTATAAAAAAAATTGTAATGTGTTCTCTTTGTAGTGAATTTTATTTATGGGTACAAAGCTTTCGGAAAGACGCGATGAATCATTATCGTCAAAAGACTCAAAACGCAGCGGTTATGTAAATAAATATAGAATATATATAAGTTTGCGTCAAAGTATTCGACCGCAATCTATTTCCTGCTGTACAGGCTTCCAAAATTGCATCATAACAGGCGCGGTTACCAAGCCCCCAAAGAAAGTGACCCCCCAAAAAATTTCTGCCATCCGTACTCCCCATCGCGGGTAACCTGCGATCAGGAAAATATAGCCTGATCGCAAGTTACATGGCGGGCACCTATTGCGGAATACTTTGTGTAAAATTATAAATCTTTGTATCTCAGTAGTTGACAAATGAAAAGCAATTTTATGGAAATTTTTAAAACCGTTCAAAATAAGGGGAGAAAATGAGCAAAACAGGAAACTGTGGACATTTATTTGTTTTAAATTTTCCTTATGAATTATTAACGAAAATCCTCATCCGTCATCACCTAAACCGGGCCACAGATGACAGGGCCAACCCATTGAACTATAAATAAACTGGAAGGCTAACTCAGGGGGAGAAATTGAAGCCAGTGCATTTTAGTTTTTCTGAGTTATGAGCAGAAATACCCAACACCGAACGTTGGGCTATATATCAAATTGAAGCTATTGAAAAACTCTATTTGGTGTAGAAATTTCAAGACTTTAGCTAAAAGGGAAATATTGAAAAACTACAAACATAATTACCGATAATTTGCCGTTTTGCAGTTGTTTTTGTATTTTTTAAATATTTTTCTTTTCGCTGAAGTCTTGAAATTTCCACACTGAATAGCAATTTTCAATAGCTTCAATTTGATATATAGCCCGACGTTTGGGGTCAAGTATTTCTGCTCATAACTCAGAAAAACTATTTTGGCTTCATCAAATCATAGGCCTTCATCATAACAGTTAGCCTTCCAGTTTATTTGGCCAACCTCCGAACCTCGTTCCCAGGTTGCCCCCCAAATAGAACCGCATTAGATTCCAAATTTTGAAATTTATATCTAATTGACAACTTCCGAGTTAGTGTGATCAGGGAGTGATTTCGGCTAAATTTGTAACGACAATACCATGTATGATATGTATTGATCGTGTGTACAGTCTGCCAACCGGTACTTGGCGAGGTCTACGTGTCATGGTGGCGTCTTACTGCCACATAAAATTTATTATATATTATAATAGAGTAAAATGAAAATAAAATGTAAAACATAGTAAAAATAAAAGCACAAATGAAACTAAAGGTAAAACAATTCTAAAACCACTTTCAATATTAAAAGTAAAGTAAAACGAAAATAAAAAAAAAATTAAATTCCATAATCCATATGAAAGTAAAACACTGAGCAGCTGCCCCAACGAGCATTTTCATACATTGGTACCATAGAAATAATAGATATAGACGGCGTACTCCTATCTTTTTTCAGTAAAAAAATTCTATTTCAAGATCTATTATTTCTATGATCGGTACTGATCTGTATCAAATTTCCGCACGTAAATCATCGTCAGCCGACTGCTCAATCCGTACGCGTACCATCTGCCGACACATCACACGAAATATATTATAAATCTGGCTGCGATAATTGTCGTATATGGTTCGATGTACTTGTGTTTAATTGTGGAGTTGCCACAAAAACCAAGGACAACAGAGTGGTTTAAGTGCCTTTATTACGGTTGCCGTGACAAATTCAACAAAAATGGTTCGAAGCGCAATTTAGAAAACTAAAGCAATCTCAACAGCTCGCATAAGCGCACATGGAAGATATCGATGACTTTGCAATGGCGTTCCCAGATGTTTTGGGCAACTTTCAACATCATTCGCGCTCATATTACATCGTTTGTGCAGCAGTCACAGTCTTCGTTGATTTCATAGTCGTCTTCCTATTGGCTGCTCGAAAATTTCCACGAAATGGGCTGAAATCCAACCATGTAATGTTGCTCAATCTGGTGTTATGTGATATCCTGTACGAAGCCGCAACGACAACCTTATTTTTGCAGTCAAATTCTTGCGAAGTTGTTGAAAATTGCAAGATGTTGTATTTCATCTACCTCGCTTTGAATCTCTGCACAGTTTTTCTCATTATGGTGGAAATTATGCAAAAAACCATGTTGGATTTCGGGCGGGTTTCACACGATGCTTCATTCACTACACGTGTGTATTGGAGCGTCGTTTCCTGGGTTGGCGCGTTTGCACTTGCTTACGTTGATTTACAAAATGAAAGCGGATTAATGAACGCGAGTGCGATGGCTTTTCTTGGCCGATTTAAAGGATTTGGTTACTTGCTATTTGCGGTCATACTCTGTTCTGGAATTTTGGTTATATTGCTAACTGTTGCTATTGCGAAACCGCACCTCAAAATATCTGCGTTCGAAAACTCACACGCCTCCGAAACGAGTCGACGAGAAATCGGTTTTGCCGTCAATCGCGGCCAAGACGACCTCATATTCTCGTGTATTTTTATGGCAATTTTCGTTGGGTGGTGTGCGTGGGTGGTACTTGGGGTTGACAGTAGGATAATGAAGACAGTCGAGGTTATGAAGAGTTTCGAAGCGATCAGGCTTGCTGGACGCATTTTAAATCCGCTGACAATATTGTACTCGTTTTCGCATAGAAATGAACAGTTCGTCCTACGCGATACATAAAATAGCTACATTTATAAATTACACCGATGGAAGCTTCGTATGAGACAAGGGCGCCAATTAGATTCCATCAATTACGTGGAAACTTTGACCCAGACCGCTTTGTAAGAAAGCGTTATAAAAACAACTTTGATTTATAGTTATTTTCGTACTATATAAGTATAACAATCGATTACAACACCAAAAGATATTAAATATTTAATTAGTTTTGCCACTCCGCACCTATTATTTTATTACATGTAACTAAATTTACAAGACATTGTTAATTAATAGAGGTGTTTCAAGACCTTGCTTCATGAATGTCTGTATATTCTGTTCCACAAATATAACCTACTCAACCACTCGAAAACAAAACTTCCAGAATTATTAGATTAGAGAAGCGAATTTTCAAAATACCTAATTCCCCGATCGGGGAGGACGGATTCGTCTGGTAGAAAAATTCAACCAATCATCGCGTATTATTATACATTGCACGCACTACGTGTCTTCTGATTGGCCAATAGCTGCAGCTAAATATAGAAATCACGCAACCTACTATATAAACTCTCTTCAATATGTAATTTTATCATAGATATCTTGAATTTTATAGCACGATTTTACAGCTATTATAAACCAGGCCAATATATATTTTAGAAAGGGAATTCGAAGGTGCAATAACACAATATAAGAATTTTAATGAAAACTAACTATATCGGTTAATTGATACCTACGGCTACACACGTAAAAACGCACAAGTTGTTACAAGTCTGCAAACAAGTTGTTACAAATCTGTTCACAAGCTGTCAACAAGTTGTCTTCGCACTGCTTGTTCCCAGTTGTTGTAACAAGTTTGGAACAAGCTGTTAACAACTTGTAACAAGCTTGATGGCATTATCAGACTTGTCACAAGGTTGTTCTAACAAGTCTGATACAGTCATGAAAAACAAGAATGTTACAAGGTTGTAACAACATTGTTATACCATGACTGTATCGGACCTGTTGGAACAACCTTGCAACAAGTCTGATATCAACAAGGTTGTTACAAGTTGTTAACAGTTTGTTCCAAACTTGTTGACAACTTGTGACAAGCAGTGCGAAGACAACTTGTTGACAAACTTGTTACAAGATGTGATATTTTTGCGTGTGTAGCCCATGCAATTAAGCTCGGATGAAACCAGGATGAGAGTTCAAATAATTAAACTTCTGCATACTCCTTGCGGTCCTAACCTTAACCCCTAATTCCGTACTTGGCGGTCACCCGACCATGGTTAGCGATTCTTAATGCTTTCCCAACACTATCTTGTATTCTATTGAAGTTAAAACATAGTTGGAACACTCATCAAACCTTTGTCTTGTTAATCTAGAGCTTGAAATGTCCCCTGGAACAATGCGCGACTATCAACTCTCATGGCAACTCTTATGCTCGTTTCACCGGGTCTGAACTAATTGCAAAATCTGGATGTATCGGGTAAAGACTAAAGTCCGAATAGTCGGATTTGATACGACATCTCAAATTCACAAATGACTCCGTAGTTCTACCGAAAAATTTAAGTTCAGTTAAAGTTAAAGTTGACGAAATTCTATGCTAATTAAGATCGCATCCCGTTTACCGCTCAATTATTCATGAATTTGAAATATGTTATAAGAACTGACAATTGGCTATTAGTATTAGTAACACAATATTAGTACATATCCTGTATTGATTATTGTTCCGCGCAAGATCATGTTTTTTCCCCGAAGACGAAGTAGCACTCTAACTAGATTGAAGGATCTTCACAATGGATGCATCAGATTTTGCTCCTTCAATGAACTCGGTCATGGAGAGTTTATCATCCGCGTTTTTATCCATTTGTGAGAAGATCTTGTCCGTGCGCTCTTTCGCCGAACCACCATCGCCATCTGTTTGTATAGCTCCACCCATCTTCTCGATTGCGACCATGATTTCGTATAGTTCATCTCTAAAACAGTAAGAGCGCAGATTAAACGACTCATTGAGGGGCTTCGGTCGCGCAGTCGATCGTCAGAGGAAGCGCATTTCACCTCTGAGATCGTGGGTTTGATTCTCGCTATGGACTCATGAAAGTTTATGTGAAAAGAGTCGGTCAACAACGCTCTACCGCAAGTCGTGGGTTTTCTCCGGGTGCCCCAGTTTCCTCCCACAGGGAATGAATGTTCATGGAGCACAGTGGCAACGATGGCAACCTCGTTCCCAGGATCCGGCATGAGTCATAAGGTATTAAGGTGGCTGCCAGGGGCACCCTTAGAAAGCCTTCGACTCGATCAGGTTGAACTGCGTCTTTCGTAATTCAGCTTAGCTCTCAGCTGCAAGTAAGGATGCTTAGCACCCCCCCCCCTGCCCCCACAAACCAAGCCCATCCCTTCAGCCCACCCCCTGACCTCGGTTGATACATTTTGCTTCTGATGCCACTGTGTCTTTGAAAAGTAGGGATAGCCACCATGACGATGCTTCGGAATAACCAACTACTTATCTATGTTGTTTACCTGCTAATATATCCATTTCCATTGATATCATACATATTAAAGGCCCACTTCAATTTATCCTCCATCTTGCCTCGAGAAGTCACCGACAACGACACGATGAACTCTTGAAAATCGATCACTCCATCTCCGTTCTTGTCAAACGCGCGGAATGCATGTTCTGCAAACTTTGACGGATCTCCATTTGGGAAGAAATTGGAATAAATACCTTTGAATTCTTCAATTCCTAGTTGGCCTGTCGGGCAATCTTTCCTAAAGCCTTTGTACCATTCTTTGATTTCATTTTCATCAAACTCCGTCGTCGCTGAAAGGTCGGCCAAAATTTCTGGGCTTAATTTACTCTGTTGCTTTCCCATTTAGATAACAAAATAATCTAAAAAGACGAGATTGTTTATTACTTACTTAAGGCCAATTTACACTACACAACTTTTGGCTAAAATTGTTGCATGCAACTTGCTTACAACTTGAGTTGTACTGTGTAAATCAAGCACACAACTTGCCTATGTTGTCGTAACATCTCCGTTATCCATGAAGATGATAGATTCCGAAGGTGTATTTAATCAGCAATAACTAATCCTTGTGCCTAATATGAGCTTAAAATGACCAAGTGGTATGAGGGTGGGGAGTACTACTTTTGGGACATGCTGTTTTCGATGTCTTTAGTTACATTTCGGAATTTTTTAAAGAAACATAAAACATTTCTTTTCCAAGGGGGTTAGATAAACTGGATTGTGGTGTGTGTGTGTAGTGGTGTGGGTTGTGCAATATTTTTAGAATTCAGTGAGGTAAAGTTTGGGATTAATTTGCAACTTGCCATTCACTGTGGATAGGATTGAACTGGTCATTTTTAATACAATATAATGATTGCAAATTGGGTGCAAATAAAATGTAACAGCAAAAGTGGATTCCTGAGACTCTTAGCGACCTTTATAATTTTTGCTTAAGTTAAAATATTGAGGGAGTTTTACAACCCCTACACACTCCACCCCTGCTCGCAATCATGACCCTGCCCTCAAATCCGGGGACAGGCCTCCCTTTTAATAGTACTCGGTATAAAGAGGCTTCAAGAAGTTTGTTATCTATAAATGCTGCAGCTGAAGTATTAACAGCTGCAATTAATTATATAAGCGAACCTTTCACCTCATCTGTTTGTGTTTGCAATTTCTCATAAAATGATTGAAACGAATATCTCACAGAAAACAATAGAGGATCTTATAGAATTGTGGAAAGCAGCATCAGGATTATGCATCTGATGGGATAACAGGATTAGAAAAAAAATTAGATAGGATTGAATGATTATGGCAAACCGAACAGGGCCCACTTTAATTGGCTATTTTGAAGTTATCGAGAAGACTCCAAGTCAGGCAGTAAGTGTGTAAAATAAATGTTAACAAAATTAATGAATGAACAAACAGCTACTGGAAATATTATCTTAGTTTACAGCCTTTAAACCACATGATCTGGACAAATAAAGTTAGAAAAACTCTTTCAAAAACTATGGAAAATACTAACAGATACACTGACTGAAAACAATGTTTATTGGTATGCTTTGTGTATTGGTTTTGCATTGCAAAGATGATCATATACTTGAAAGACAGAAGGCTGTTCACATGAACAGGGCTTATCTTTCTAAGCCAAGGAGGTAAGTCTTTCTCATAAGAACAATCCCTAACATTTCGACATATGGCCTAATCATTTGCACAGAGACATTATAATTGTCAGGCTGGCAAGCCCCAAGAAGAATCAAGAGATTCCTATAAATATTTTTAGAAATATTTCCCCAAGAAACCTTGGGGGAGTCAGGGAGGTATTGACCAAAGCTGCAATTAGTTATGCAGCAGCTGGCAGATTTATCCACTTTTTGATTTGTAAACAAAACACCACAATCTGTTAAGATGAGTGCACTGCAGAAAACATGAAGCTTATTAAGCTTGACAACACAAAAGGTGTTTTTTTCCAAATTATAGTATCAACTCTGCAGCCACTGAATGGATGCATTTAATAATACAGTATAAACTTATTATGATAACCAAAAACATAAGCCAGACCCAAGGACTTGAGGAATTAAAATACTTTGAGATGGAATAACTTTTATTAATAATAACTGTGCAATACAAACGGAAATTAAAATATATCACGCTCATTTCCGAAACAATGCGGATTTTAAAATTTTGACTGTTTGCAGAGCCATACTGGATATGTATTAAATATCATTAAATGAGACATTTTAATAGCGTTTTCGCCCCTCTGCACAACAGATCAGCTTTTCTCATTAACTATTTACGAACTTTTATAACAATTACTATATTATCCAATTTCAACATGTTTTCGCACTGAAATATAAAAAAAAAACCACCAGAAATATTGGACTTCAAACGAAAAGCGAATTTTAATTTTACCCGAGTCAAAATTTAAACCTTCGCGCAAATAGTGACATGTGGCATTGTACGAAAATTGTACACGGAAGTATGTTAAATATTAATTCATATAACATTTGAACAAAGCTGAATGCACGAAGCAATCATGTGCATTGACAGAGCAGAAACGCATGGAAGCAATTTAACAACACTTATGTATAAGTCAGACTACAATACAGTACATTTTAAAGCATTCTAGTATTGTCTAAAAGCAGTCGAATTTGGCGAACTTAAGAGCAAATGTAGATAAATTATCGCAGCAAGCTAGAAGGCGGTGGCTAGGCGTCTAGTGTTCTTTATGTATACTTACTAAAGCAAGCAAACAGATAGATACCAAAACATGAATAAGAACACTTTACATTACATACCTTTTGTCTATTAATTGCACGTAGTACAGGCACGAAATTCGTTCCTATATAGGATTTGTAAAGTCAGTTGTTCTTATCGCACGTTCAATCATCAAATGAATGATAGTGTGTGCTGGCGAAATTAGTCAAGTGAAATATGAATTATAAATGATTTACATCATGCATAGTTGCAACACAGATGATTTACATTTTCTGGCATATACTTCCGTCCCCTTTGGTCGCTACGAGACGTAAAATATCATGGGTATTATGCATGTTTGCCGCGTTTTCACTTTTATGTCATTTTGTTATTTATATTAATTGTTTTCTGATTTTTAATTGCAACATTTGCAAAAGGAATGTTTTGCATGGGGAGACTCAAAAGAGCATCAAGTTCCATGAATGGATGGGTCGACATCTTGAATCATTGACGGATTGACCTCTTCTAAAACAAATGAATTACTTTGGAGAATGTTGTTAGATGGTTGTGTTGACTGTTGTTGAATTTTTGGGGCTGAAGTTTAGTAGACTCTCGGATTACTCATAATCTCATATAATTGCATTTAAGGGCGTTGTGAGAAAATTTGCCATGTGTCTTCAGTGATTCAGGCGGTTTTAATTGATTCTTCCCGGCATTTTCAGAAGATGTCTAGGAACTACAGGAACAGGAACTACAGTAATTACAGGATCTACAGGAACTACGGGATTTTCAGGAACAACATAAATCATAATAATTCTTTAATTATTTGTTAATATTTGCGGAAAATTAAAGAATTATAATGATTTTATATGTTGTTCCTGAAAATCCTGTAGATCCTATTCCTGGGTTTCCAAACACCCACTCAAGAGTAGGGCTCACACCGGGGGGTTCGTGGTCTCCTAAACTGACCTGATAACTGATGGATCAAAATACGGTCAAAATGTTACAAAATACCTAAAATAAGTAAATATACAGTATTCTCGAATTAAATACCCACTAGATCCTGTATACCCAAAACTCCCTGGCCAACCCTAAAGAGTCGAGGCTCAAAGTACAGGCTTTTGAGTTCTCGACTGCATTTCTAAGGATGACAGTTGCATGGAATCTTGCTGAGCTAACTGAAACCTTAAAATGCTCTTTCCAAGCATTGAAAATTCAAGGATTCAAGTATGAACAGACAATCACTTTTTCTGAGATTGTTCATCTAGGGCTCGGAATACATGCAGGATATTGTAGGATAAATGAAGTACTGAACGTAATTCGCTAATTCGCGGGCGCACATGAAAAATCAACTGATGACGTCATAGAATGTCGAGTTGTGAGGAAAGCAGTTTTTGATTGTTTGGTGCGCTCAGGTGGGAGTCAATCTTGTGGCGAGAACCATCAAAATACCACTTTGAAAAGGTAAGTCGACCCTCTAGATATGATATACTATTCTTATCTGAGTTTGGTAGTGAAAATAAACTTGCTGCGTGCGTGCTTTCACGGCCTCAATTTAGCGCAAAGTGTGCAGTCTGGCGGAGAGGTTTGGGAAGCGATTGCAGAATAGGTGCAAATTGCCTTCCGCGAATGTTATGACACTATGACAGTAGAACAAATATGGTGTAGAAACACTATTAATCTAGAAAATCAATAGCAGTATCGTGTTTCGAGATACGAATGGCCATTAATTTGTCTTTGAAGTGTGGAAAATTTTTAACTGTTTCCAAGAGATGTCGATTGCAACGATTAGGAATTTGTAATCATGGGCTGTCTGTTTGTCAACACCTGCTTGGCTTCTTGCGTGTAGTCGCGCTATTAAGTGGATTTAAATGAGCCTATATTCCCTGTTTTGTCCCGTCTTAGCCTACCTTTCTTGGTGCAAAAGCTATGCGGTTTCATTGTACAGATATTTAGTGTCATTGTTTTCATTTATTTGTACAAGATCATGCGATCATAACAAGATTCTGTCACGGTTTTTGACAAATCCGCTTAGCGAGGAAACGAACACAATTTAATGATGTTTACGTTTTCGTTGTAAGCCTTATTTGCCTTATTTTACGAGTTCTTAAACTCGGGATAATGACATGTTCGCTACAATAACAATTGTTGTTAATATCCGATATTTATGTTGAAATTTCTAAACCGCAATTATACAGCTAATTCTTTCACGTAATTTCAATACGACCATTAACATATGGTTAAATAATTAACGCGAAAATTATCAATGCATTCCAAGCCCCCACAGTCTCACCAGGTACATTCTGCTTCTCTGTGGGTTACAGTAACATGATCAAAAAGCTTAAAATGATGTTATTTGTCTACAAAAATTTCTTCCTATAGGCTTTGTTTGTGGGTATTGTGCATAGATTGTGTAGTGATCACAGACTTCATTAGGGCTTAAAATAACTTTCCTAATTCCATACCAAATGGGATACATATCCCCTGTTCCACCATTATCATTGCGTGGATGACAATATCTGACCTTGATACAAGCACTAATCAGTACCCTCTGTTTCGATTCCATATAACACAATCCAATTGTGTACAGGCTTTATTCATTGATAATTTACAAAGCGATGCACCCTTCCAGAAAGTAGGTCACTTTGGCTATAGGACCCCGTTTTCGTGTATGTGACATTTAACAAATATAAAACATTTTCCGTGTTGATATACAGTTATATCAACACGAGTGGAAATTGGGAAAACGAGAAATTGTGTGGAAACACGA